TGGATCTCTAAGGCACTGGGAAGAGGGGGTGAGGGTGTGTGTTGAAGTAAGGTTGAGCTCTGTTCCAGGTAAATAGGTTGACTTATACAGACCTGCTTCTAGGAACATAGTGGGTGGTGGGAAAGGAGGTACTGTGTGGGCAATTTGGGGGCTATGGATTAGCTTTCTCTGCTGTTAGTTCATCAAGTATTTACCTTGTTTGAGTTCTTGATAGTCTGGACCATGAAGACTGCCAAAACTGATTCATCTCTGGTGCCTAATAATTACTTTGGAGAGGTTTAAGAGGTCATGAAGGTTGGAGGAGATCTCTAGCCCTCCATCTTGTTGGCCATGTGACCCAGAAGTCTGATAGGTTTCTTATTAAATTCATCTAACCACCTTCTGGTCAAGGTCTGACTCCTCCCTTTTGATAGCAGTCTCCCTGAGGGCTGGCTCACAAAGCCATGTCAGCTTCCTCTCACCTTGGGCAATTTACACTTCATTGTCCTCTGTCTCTGCCTCCAGTGACTTCTGGGGGAACAGAATTGGCCCCACCTGAGTGCCTTCCCTCAGGTTTAGAGGAGTGCCACACAGCCCCATAAAAGTATACTTCCCCAGTTCTCTTGGTACCTCAGTTCTCTGGTTGAGCTCTGTTGCAGCACAGAGCATTGCCATTGCTATTCTAGTTGAGTAAGCTTCTGGGTTTTGATTTTCATTTGCACTAAAAGAATAATGGTAAGGGAGCAGAACTGAGTTCTGTGGCAAGCATGGTGGGTCACTTTGTGCAGCCCTGCTGCCAGAGTTCCCAAATGGACAGTGAGGAAGGAAGTGCTGAGTGATGATACAGACTAGAGATTAGCCTTCTTTTCTGTTCTTCATTGAACTGCTACCTGGTCAAGGTTCTTGGTGTTCTAGACCAGGAGACAGCTGCAACTGTTTTATCTCTTATGCAAAATTCCTATTTTGGAGAGGTCTGAGAAGTCATGAGGACTGGAGAAAGTATTTATCTTGTACTCTATCCTGTGGGTCATGTGACCCAGAAGTCCTGTAGGAACTCTCTATGTAACCAACTTGTTAGGCAGTTTTTTTCCAGTGAATAGAGCACTGGGTCTGGAGTTCTGAAGACTCCTTGTGAGTTCAAACCTGGCCTCAGAAATTTACTAGCCGTATGACCCTGGGCAAGTCAGTTAACCCTATTTGTCTCAGCTTCCTCATTTATCAAATGAGGTGGAGAAGAAAATGCAAACCACTCCAGTATCTCTGCCATGAAAACCCCAAATGGGTCATGAAGAGTTGACATGACTAAAGAATGAAATGACTCAACAACAAAAATCTTTTTAGCTTAGAGCCATTTTGATCATATTTGTGAAACATCTGGCAAATACATTCTCACCAGCCTTTGTTAGCTGTACTCAATCCCTGGCCAGAAATCTGTTATCCCTATATTTTAAGCCAAGTCAATAAGGGTTTAAGATCTCACTATGTGCCAGGCACTGTGCTAAGCACTAAGGACATAAATACAAGCAAAAAGAAACTCAGACCAGTCCCTGAAAGGCAAGAAACTCACATTCTAATGGGGGAAGAAAACACATAAAAGGGGCAACAGGGAGGGAAGTCAGCAGCAGAGCTGAGAAAGGAGTGAATGAATATGACTGGCTTGGGCAATTCCTCAAAATGAAAGTTCTGGAAAGAACTCACCAATTATAGAAGAGAGGTGCAGGGATCTTCCAGGGTGAGAAGTCCCAGGGTGCTGGGACATGGAAAAGTCTGGCAAATCAGGAACAAGGAAAGCCAGGAGAGGACACTGAAAGATGTACATGGACCAGAAGTCCAAATCCCTTTCTCATACACTATCTTCTTAGTTCTCCATTTCCAAGTTCAACTTCCATCTTCTCCTTCCCTTGCCCTCAATGGACAAGAGTGAGGAAACTACAACTTGTGCCCCTATGATCTTTAGTTTCTTGCCCAATAGCAATACTTTAGCAATACTGTCTAGGTTACTTCTAGCAGTATCTTTTGTGCTCAAGCGATTTGCCATAAACAGGTAGTCACCATCTGTTTTGATAAATCTTGGGACATTGTCTGCTTTGTTTTGGGTACATTCGGTGGAAAGTCAACAAACCTCTTTGCTCCTGTAACCCAGTCATCAATTAGTGGCCTCAGTACCTATGGGCGGGAATCGCCAACCATGCTGCTCCTTGCTTCTTCCTCTAATCCTTATTGGGATGATTTCTCACCTAATAACTTCTGTGACACCACCACGTCAAACTTGAGAGGACAGCTGCAGCTTCTTCCTCAGAGGATCCAAATCCCTCCTCTTCAGGAAAAGCTTCAAACCTGTATTTTTAAGCTTTAAGTATATGGTTGCCTCTCTCCTTCCTTTAGTCCTCTGTGTAACACTCTTCCACTCTGTCACCTACTCGGCAAGGGTCAAGATTCCCCTCCTCCGACTCAGATCCCCCTTTCCTCCACTGAACCCTCACCTCTTTTTCCTTTAGGAATGCTTCAGTGTTTCTCACAACCTGGGAGGAGGACGGGCAATTACACATACCAAGAGAGAGAAAGAGACACACATACCCCAAGAAAAAAGAAAAGACACACTCCCAAGAGGAAAGCACATGCATTCATGTTTACACGCGCACGTGCACACACACACACACACACACAACACAGACACACACATACACCCTAAGAAGAAAGGAGAGACAGTCCAAGAGGAAAGGAAACAAAATAAACCAAGGACAGAGACAGAAACATACTTCCAAACCAAGAGGAAGAGGGAGACAGATGCACATACCAAGAAAAAGGGAGAAAGACAGAAACAGACACCCACAAACCAAAAAGAAAGAAGGCAGAGACAAATACAAAAACCAATCAAGAGGAAGAAAGGGAGCCAAAAAAAAGAAAGAAAGACACCAAGAGGAAAGAAAAGGAGATAGACACAAAACAAAAGGAATAGGAAAAGACTGACACATATGCATGCACAAAAGCACACACACTAAGAGGAAAGAAAAAGACACACTCACCAAGGAGACAACCAGAGAGAAACACACACACATATATACACACTCACTCTCTTTCTCTCTCTCTCTCTGTCTCTCCCCCCGCCCCATACCAAGAGGAAGGCCTACATCAAGGTAAAGGAGAGATAAACCACATTAAAGGAGATATCCACAAAAGTAAGAGATAATTAAAAAAAGCAAGTCAGAGGAAAAGGAGAAGGGGAAAGGAGAGATATAAAGAACAAGGAAGAAAACAAAATATACACAAAGGTCAAGAACAAAAGACACAAAATTCAAGGAAAAAACTTAAAGAAGTAGAGAAGGACTGAAGGGAGACATGAGCAAAGGAAAGGGGCAAACACTACGTATAAATGGATAGGAGAGAAGGAGAGAGACAAAGAGAAGGACAGGGTATATAAGATGGGATAGAAAAAGTAAAATATGAACAGAAAGATAAGTACCGGGGAGTTAATATTCATAGCTGAGCATATATAAAGCTTTTTAAAAGGTTTACAGAGTTCTTTTAAGTCCACTGTATCATTTGATCAAATAGTTAACTGTAAAAGAACTCTTTTCACACCTTGTTGTTTACTTGACCTTGGGATTCAGCTGTCACTTGAAAAGCTGATTTAAGCACTATTCACAACTCTTCCACAGCTCTCATCCTCACTTTACCACTATCCAAATTACCCGGATAATCCGGGAGGATGATCTCAGGGGACCTAATGACCAGGATGAGGTGAGGGGGTGGGAAGTTAACATTACCACAGAGCTAAAGCTCTCATATAGGCATCCATTTTACGATGTATTTCTATTGCATTGTCTATGCTCAAGGATTCCAAAATGCAACATCAAAATTACCTTTGACTATGGTCCCCAAGGGTGACAGACTACTGAAAAGGAATGAAAAAATGAACTGGGGTAGTCTGCACTTGTGGGTTAAAATACTAGTTTGAAAGTTTACAAAAGAATTCTCATCACCACCACCCTGAAAGGAAGGTTGTACAAGGATTTCAATCCTCATCATAAAATACAGAAAACTGAAGCTCAAGTAAGTGACCTGCCCAAGGACCGACAAGTGAGATAGGACTCTTGGCCCTCTCATTCCAACTCCAGGGCTCCTTCCACTCCAGAGGCGTGGAAGTCATTTCACTACCACTAAGTCCCCGGCTACAGGGTGGACTTGAGGGCCGCTTTTCTGACTCTCAGATTCTGTGACAGCACTTCATCTGTTTGGGCCTCGGTTTCCTCATGTTCAAAATGTACAGGTCAGTCTACTTATTCTTAAAAGTCTATTCCAGCTGGGAAATGCTATGACTTCTAAATAAGCACCATTACTTTAAAAGCAGAAAACACCAGGAGTTAAAACTCAGAAGCAACAGTATACTACCCAGAACAGTACCAAAGACAAGTTTGATGAGTTTCTGCTTCTACCCACTAAATTTCAAGATTCTTTTTCTGACAGTTTTCAGAAGTTTTGGGAATAGAAAATGAAGAAGTCATTCTCTCCAGTGAATGGATATCAACTACAAATGTGGATCATAAGGTTTAAAGCTAGAAGGGACCTTACAATTCATCTACTACCAACCTTCTCATTTTACAGACAGGGACACACAGGTCCAGAGATGTGACTTTTCGGCAATCACTTTAAAAAATAAGTAACAAAGCAGGAATCCAAACAGAAGCCCTCTGACTATAAATTCAAGATTCTTGCCATTACTCGACAGCATAAAGCACAGTAATAGGTTTAGGAGAGAAACTGGACTGACCCCTGGGGACTGATCACTTCAGTAAAACAAAAAAAGCCCAGATGCCAAACTCACATAGAATTGTTGAGCAAAGTCACTTAAGGGAATTTGCTACCTGGAAATGGCTAAGCTATATGGCTCCACATATGATGACAAATGGTGCTAGACATTAAAACAAACTAGAAACTGCTACTGGCAGTCTTAAAAACAGAAATTGGTAACATTCTACCCAAAATATCAGCTATAAAACAGAAGCCTTTCTGACACTCACTTTTGATTTGTCAGATAGCGGTCCCAGCCCCGAATAATATTGCCATACATCTGGGTGTCTTCCAGGTAGCTCCCTTCAAAAGCATAGATCTGCCTCTCCAAGTTTGCCAGCGTCTCCTGGTGGACACACACAAAAAAAAGCACAGGGATGCTACTACCTTTCAAGTTGGAATATTCAGTCTGACCAAACGGAGATTTAGTCAACAGGTTTAAGACTGAGGCTCTTGCCTCACAATAATTCACAGTTGATACCACCTCTTCAGTACATTTCCAAATAGTTCTCACCCTCCATAGAGTGGGTAATGCATGATTATACCCAAACTATTACAGAATCTTCACTTTGGCTTTGGCAGGCAAAGTTAGGATTCAGGGTAAATCAAACCCTTCACTGCTTCTGAGTACAATAACACTGCTTTTAACACCTAGAAGAGCAGGCTGGCTGATAGCCACAAGGGAATTTCACTCACATTGGTAAAAGGTGTAAGAGCAGCATGAGCTCCGCAAGGGCCTTCCATCCATAAGGCTTAGAGAGCCTTTAAGGGTCAGGGTCCCTTCTCTATTAGCAAAAGCTAGAAAATGTCACCCGGCTGTGCACAGATTCCTTGTTGCTATGGTAACCAACATCTGCTGCTCCAGGAGAAAATGCCCCAGGACCAACCCTATGCAAGATTCTCTTCAAGAGTCACTACTCTTTGCTTCTATTCTCCCCTTACCAAATAACCATAAATTCCCCCAACCCTAATATCCCTCCCACACAATCCTTTCCCTTCACCAAAATACCTCCCAATTCCAAATCTTTCTCATACCTACCTCCTCCCCCCCGCAACAGAGGTATGATTTGGAGGGCGAAGTCGATGTTCCCCACCCCCACCTCTATCTTGCCACCTAAACTCCCAATTCCCCAACTGTCCCATCCCAGGAACACCCCTTTGCCACCCACCTCCTCAGAGGGCCCCCTCACTTTCTGTCCCCATATGCTTCCTCACAGATCCTCCCCAGGCCTCAGTTTCCCCAACTGTAAAATGAAGAGGTGACTAGAAGGCCTTCTGAGATCCCTTCCAGCTCTAAATCTATGGTCCTAGGACCCCACTCGGTTTCTCCTATGTGCCCCCTCCCCACCACTCCCGTACCAGCGGCCTCCCCCATTTCGGCCCTCCCATCCCTCTTCTCAGCCCCGCCCATCCCGCGCCTCAGCCCAGCCCGCCCCCGTTCCCGCGGCTCGTGCCCGTCAGTCACCGGGGGCGCGTGGGGGCGCGGACCCGCGGAGGCGGGCGCGGGCGCGGGCGCGAGCGCGTCTGGGCCCCGGGCCGCGAGGCCGGGGCCCCCGGGCCGCGGGGAGCGCGAGGCGGAAGCGGAGGAGGGGGTGCCGCGCGCCGGGTTCGCAGAGTGCCCCCGGGTCCGCGCCGCTGCCGTCGGCATAACGGCCGCCAGGAAGCCAGGCCGAGCCGGACCCCCGCCCCGAGTAGCACCCGAGCTGGGCGGGGAGGACCCGGGCTCCTTCCTTCCCCCTCCTTCCAGCCCCCTCACCGCCAGCTCCTGCTTGCGCTTCACCAACTCGGCCAGTTCCCGCCGGGTGTCCGGGATCTGCGGCGGCGCCGCCTTGTTGTGCATCGCCATGTTGGGCCGAGGCGCGAGGAAGGAGGCAGGGAGCGAGCAAGGGAGGGAGCGAGTGAGCGAGGAAGGCGGCCCTGCCGCGCCCCCCGCCCTTCGGCCGCCAGGGGGCGCCGCCGCCGCCTCCACTGC